TGACTTTTATGGGGACAAATATAAGCAATATACCGCATAGAGTTTTTAAACGACAATTTGATATAACTGATTTTGAAATGAATTTTCGACTGAAAAGTACGCTAACGTCGAAATAGCGTGTTTTTGACGTTAATATAAAGTGAAGCTCTAAAAGGAGGTGTAATAAAAATGTTATGAAAGGTATAATATATCTGCTTTTGAATTTTTAGACATAAAGATTTGAGAATCTCTCGATCTTTTTTATAATGTTGTCGTATAAATCCTTGGTATTAGTCATACTTTGCAGTTCTTCATAAAAACAAGAAAATTTGTTAATTTTTAACATTTTGAGTTCCCTCCTAGAAACAACATAAAATGATTGTATGTTATTTTACGTCCCTCTCGAGAATTTGTCACTCAGATGGAGACGTTACCATTTGCCGATAAAGAGCTGCAAGTTTTGTCCTTTATTCTGAACTTAAAGCCATTGAGCAGTGAGGGGTTTTATTCATGTCATCACCTCCAGTGACAGGGGACATCAGTTTATAAGGTCTTATCCAGAGCACCGGTCTATACGTCCCTCAGTGGGACTCCAATCCTCGACGCTAGTATTAAGACTTTACCTCACCACTCTAGAGTGAACGCTCTAACCACTGCGCGGGCGACCTGGAAATAGGACGGTTGAATTATGTGTGTCTTATATGCAATGTACATATATTATTTCTCATTACCAGGGGTACATATTATAGCTTGAATAAAATTTCGATTGTAGAATCTTTATAACTTGCTTTAAAATGCAAGCAATTTGCACTTTCCTATATAAACCTGATAGTAGATGTATCTGTACTATGAGACGGTCTCTTAAAAATTCTTGGAAGGTAGATTTTCCCTAAATGCCACGCATACTGAATTCAATGTATAGATCCTAAACCGTGCTGCTACATCACTTGCACGGTTCGTTTTGTAAACGCGTACGGTTTGTTTTGTTTTGTTACCGGTACGCTTTGGAGAACGTTATGGTAATTAAGAGGGGGTGGCATTATGATTGGTAGTTTAATAAAGGGTCTTTCTTTCTTAATTTCTTCATAATAATCTCCTTTTTTAATTAATGAAATAATTAAATCGTTGGCAAGTTATTCAATTTTATATCTATTAGATGTTTCTTTTTTACCTTATTTTTTTCACGTGCTGTATGAATTTTCTTCTTTTTTAAGTATACTTATATTTGTCACACTTATTGCAGATCAAATGTGTTTGATTTCATAAATGACAATGCTTTTATTTCGTACATCAGTATAATACACGTATTACTGCTTTTTCTAAACGTTTGCAAAAAATAACCTTAATTAAGACAACATATCGAATGGTAATTGTTTACATACACAAATAAAAGCCTGTATGGAAAATGACAGAAATCTTTTATTTCCCTAATTTATTCGTAGAAAAGTTAAGTTATTCATGAATAAGAATATTTTTTGAATCTGCATAATTCTCCTAAAATTGGTGTTTTGGCACAATCATTTACATATATGTCATTTCATCCCATTCGACACCCTTAAGGTCCATTCAAAGCAATATGAATCTTCAAATATGTAAACATATAAATTCAGTCAAAATAGTATGAGAACAATGACTTATAACTCTATGGGAAATCAATATATTTAAGGTCACGTTTTGCTCTTTTCTAATATATAGAAAAATGAAAACAAATATTTTAAAGAGTACTGAATGATATAGAGTTTATTACTTTTTGCAAATTTCGTCCAGGAGTACATTTGAAAATAAAAATGCAATGTCTTTGTCCGTTATCCTTTAACGAGCAATTTTGCACTGACCTTGGCAGCAGATACAATAGGATTTTAAGTCATTATTGTAGCATTTTATATCATATGACCGTAATTTGTCCATGTCGCTCATTTTCACCTCTGTATTTGTTTTTGCTACAATTGCAAGTTTTATTGTTTCAATTGACTTTTTTAGCTACATAACTAGTTATTATCTTCATATTTCTTTAAAGATGAACCGATCGAAGTATCGAATAAAAAGACGTTAATTTTTCTATAAAAACTAAAATATGTTGATGTGCTTTTACTGAAACAAACAAGATTTGAAAGGGTAAAATGCAATCTTAATGATGTAAGCTGAAAACCAACTTTGGCCAAAATTTTGGCGAGGTAATTTCTTAATAAAAAAAGGCATTGTTACAACGCGAAAAGTAATAACAACGCGAAATGTAATAAACCTGGATTATTACATTTTTCGTTATCACACTTTGCGTCGAAATCAACGCAGAATGTAATAACGCAAAATGTAACAACATACATTTGAGGATTTTCACATTTCGCGTTATTACATTTTGCGTCGAGATCAACGCAAAATGTAATAACGCAAAATGTAATAACACGATTTTTTATTATTACATTTTGCGTTGTTACATTTTGCGTCGAGAATAGGCAAAAGGCAACGACGCAAAATGTAATAACAAACTTTTTTTCGGCAGCCAGATTCAGTACAATTTTCAATTGTGTATTGGTCAATGAAAAGAAAAGAAAACAAAAGGAAAAAATAGAAATATGCAATTTTTACAATTGATAAATTTTGTAATATAATGATTTAATTAACTATATGTAAAATTTAAAATTAGTTTTGATCAATCTTTGGTAATTGAATATATGTTATTGGTTAGAAATTTAATAAGACTATCAAAAATATGCCGATCAAAGTTAAATTAATTCTGTATAATTAAGTACAGTGTGTTCAATATAACTAAAATCAGAGTCAGAAAAACGATACATTTAGATGTTTTATATCCGAAAAAGCCCTAGCGTTGGTCTTATTGTTTTACTTCCAAAATTTTACAGCGTGTTTCCCACGTTGGTTACATGTATATATATTTGAATCAATTTTATGATCTTTTTTATTAACCTCAATCAAAAAAATTAATTACATTTTGTTTTATTACATATTGTTTTATAACATTTTGCGTTGTCTTCAGTGCAAAAATAAAATAACGCAAAATGTAACAACGAAAAAGCACGTTATTACATTTTGCGTTGACTCGACGCAAAACGTAATAACGCGAAATGTAATAATCTAAAAATCGTGTTATTACATTTTGCGTTATTACATTTTGCGTTGATCCCGATGCAAAATGTAATAACGCAAAATGTAATAATTCAGGTTTATTACATTTCGCGTTGTTATTACATTTCGCGTTGTAACAAGGCATTGTCATGCATATGGCAAGTTTGAAAGGTGATAACATTAGTGTCTCAAAGGAAAAAAATTTTTCCTATGTTGTAAGAATAAAAAACCAATAATTGAGATGTATTGAAATAATAAGGCATTATGAACAACCTGGTAAAGTTGTTTTCTTTTTCTAAATTGGCCAAAAGATTAAATCCAATTTTAAAAAGATGTAGATAACGATACAAAAGAAGGTATACTGAGGAATCTTATATATTTTTTTTTAAATGCCTGATAAACTCAGGAATATATTACCATTAAACTGGTTTTCTAATGATTAAATGTGAAAAATAAATGAAAACAGAACTGCGCCATACAATTTCCTTTTTTTATGTGGATCAAAACTGAGTAATCTACTGTCTTTTAAGAAAGTTTTACAGAAAATTAGTCTTCATTAACGCAAGACAACGCCTGTTAATTGTTTACAAACACCAATAAAAACCTGTATGAAAAATGACACAAAAATCTTTTTCTTATTTATTCAAAGAAAAGTTACATAATTAATTAATTAAAAGAGTCTCAAATGTACATAGTTCTTCTAGAATTAAGTGTTTTGGCACAATCATTTACATGTATGTCATTTCAAAGTTATCAGAACGAATTAAAGAAAGGGATATATTTAAACATTTTCAGTTTGCAGTTTTAATAATTTTGCTAACGGCATAAATATTGTATTGACTGTAACGTTTTCCTTAGTTCAACGTGTATATATGCCGACAAAGAGGAATACTATTGTACTATATCATCTCATCTTACGTTAAGGAAGAATATAAATATAAAGTGCAGATTTAATATACAATTAAATATAACAGGTACATGTTACCATTAAGGATGTGGCAAGATTTTATGTATGAAAATATAAAATTTATATGTATTTCTATGATACACAAAGGTCACTTTCATTCGGCTCATGGGAGTCAAAGCCTAGTTCTCGTCACACAACACGGTTCTATTCATTTTAAAATTATCCTGAAGTAAAGAATCTTGACCAGTCAAAAAAGGGGAAAAAAGATTTCTTCCACTCTGACAGATCCATAAAGGGTAACGAAGAACATTTAACACGGGGATTTCTGTAAAAATAAAAAGGAGTAAAAGTTAACATTTTTTGACAAAAATGCACAAGAGACTTTAATAAAATATCTTTAAAACCTATATATATTAATTTGACTTTTGTAGCATAGAGGAATTAAGAACTGCTGTGTATAAAGAAAAGGTGAGAAAAATCATACACGGTTGATAATAAAAAATTGCAATAAATATAAATTGTGAACAGGGTATTATTCAAAGACCATTGGAATTCCCTGGGAGCCGCTGTTTCAACCAGTGTTTTTTTTTTCTTTAAATATTTATGCAAACATTTGACAATTGGTGTGAAATATATTTGTCAAGATTTTTTCCGGTGATGAAGTTCCTTGCTACAAGATTATCAAAATGATCGTAAAGTTTATGAAATGATGATTTACATTTAGGATGTACAATTCACTTTAAAGGCATAATTAACTGTCAGTATTGCTCAAGAAATACCAAATTTGAATAAGTATTTTTAAAGCTTCTGAGATATACACAATGCAACTATTTCTATGTTGTAACCTTTAGCTACTCTTTCCAAATTTTGACATATATGTATAATCTTGGAGAATTTATCACAAAATAAGGAACTTATTTATCTGATACTTAAATATTTTTTTCTTATCAAAACAATCTGTTCTGTAAAGGAGCGACAATAATTGAAATTGAAAAGATCAAAGTACATTAATAGCACATTATACTTATACTTACTTTGATACCACGAGGTTGAAAACATCTTTCTGAATTTCATCCAGATTCAATGTCTCACAAAGTATCTTAGAAAACGTCATTTTTCTTATTTCTCTTAGCTGACCTGTGAAAAATCATTATCCTATTATATTTTCAACTGAAGACGTGTATTCTATTCATAGCTTAATTGTCCACTATTTATTTGAAGGTAAATTAGCCAAACGCAAAAGATATTAAAGAGCATAATTAATTCAAACATTTAGATTTAATTAATGAAAGTGGATAAGTGTTGACATTCTGCATTTTTAGATGTTATTACGCATTTTTCTATTTAATTGTACATGCGAGTAAAAATACCTTAAATTCCAATTATAATTAATAAATGCATTCAGGATATATAAAATCAAAAAAAAAATGTTATGTTATCCGTTAACGAAGATTAAGCCAAATACGGTCTTATCTATACCTATCCGAAAATAAAGACATGAACATACCTCTAGAGAATCCCTCTATTCCCTTCGTTTCGTACCAATATCTGTCCCCAAACCTTAGTTCTTTGAACTGCCATCCTAATAAACATTCAAAAAGAGGACCTACTACTGCGTCTGCGCGAGTTGTTTCTGAAATCCCTCCAACAAAAACATCAATGTCGTCAACGTGGCTGTAAAATGAACCGCCATTTATATACATTTTATGAACAACATCTTATAAGGTCTTTTGGTTAAATAGATATAACCCTGTGGTTTATTTTAGAAATCGAGCTTTTATGTTACACACACTTACTCATAAACATCTTGCAATCTTGCAATTGTGTCGGAGTTATGATCTTGTAATTCGGAAAACGTTGTTGCTACCGGAAGTTTACACAACTTCCTCCACTCGTTGTAGGCGGGTAAACCGTGGTCCCGCCCTCTTTGAATGTTGAATGACATAAGGTCAAAGGTTACTCCATTAACATCAGGGAATAATTCATTTCTAGCAGCATTTTCAATTTGTCTGAAACAGTTAAGAAAAACAGTGTACGCTAGATGTCATGTTTTTGACTCTTCCTTGACCATTTTTTTAACTTTTGCAGAATTTTGAATTCAAATACGATTTAGATAAAGACTCTGTTGATTAAAATATTACTTCAAGATTGTAAATCTATGTAATTTATTTATTATTTTAAACAAAAGGTTAATATCTCAATAACTTTTCAACATTTGGTTGTATAATTTTAATATTTGATTTAATTATCCTTACGTCTAAAATAACGTAATTGTGAAGTAGAGTAATGTACCTATCAACTTTTCTTGCAGGGGTGCCCAATAAAAACCGCGCTAAATCTGGAATGTTTTGTCCTTGTTGTGTAACAACAATATTGGGGTCCATGATGACATCTTCCGATTTAAATACTTTAGATGTAGCAAACATACGCGTCATATAGCCTAGCTCTGGTGGAATCTGGATAATACGAAAATTTATATGCAATCAATGTTTATTTTTCTTCCTCAACTACAAGAAATTAATTTTTTTTAATTTTAATAAAATTGGAGAAATTTAATAAAAAATAGACGAGATTTTTGAAGAAATTCAAATGTATAGAAACCCCCAAATGTTATAGTGAAAAATGCACAATCGTTTTTTATATAATTATTAATGGAAATATATTTTTTACTAGGAAGAAGGCTAAAATAGGCCTTGCTTGCAGCCCAATCCCATTCACTTATGTGTATAAAATTTTGTATTAATTATTAAAAAAAAATGAAAATATAATAAGTTGTAACTATGTTACCTGTGAGTGTCCATATCGAAGCGCTGCAGTTGCAATGACATTCTTAACAGTGGGGTTCACTTTTGGATCATATCTGTTCCAATATCCATTTCTTCGAAGTTTCAGACAAAATTTCTTACGAGTGTCTTTCCCTAAAATGGCGGGAAGGTATTCCCCATACGTCACTTGTTGCATAATGGCGCCCATAATCTTTTTGGTTTCCAAGAATACATCTTGACTAGATAGTCCAGTAACTTGTCCTATTTCCTTTGCAATGATATTATGAAGGCGAAGAAAAATAACATGGAGACCTCCCAAAGAAGGAAATTCATTCACTCTTTCGTCGCCTACAATAATGTTTATTTTTGTAATTAGAATTTTTAGATTTTTCCCTAATTTATGTTACATCATATTGTATAAAAAGTACGAGCGCTATTCTATTAATGTAGGCGTTCGATGTACAAGTGAAATGATAGTTTAATGTATTTGAGATGGGATAATTATCAAATCTGTTGAAAACACAACCAGTAAAAGATTTTTGTTTTATTTTTTTTTTAATACATCACATATTTTCCTGGTTTATGACGGCCTTAGTAAAAATTCAGCACGTTTGAAACTGAACACAGAACCATTTTATATTTATTACCAGCCAGTTGGCAAAAATCTTCTGTTTGAGATGTATGACAAAGTCCTCCTGGAGGAAGCAGGTCACCTGATGACGTCCTCAATGTTCCTGTAAATAGAAAATGACGTCATATAGTTACTATACAACGAAGATATAATTATCCTTTTATCGGAGATATGTTGCTCCAAAGATTGATACTTATACGAGGTTAAATGTCAAAGACACTGTTCAATTCGTATCATACCAACACGTCCACTGAGATTTTCATTAAAACGTTTAGAGTCTCCATATAACATTCCTGCATCAATGTAGGAAGATAACCGGTTCACTTGTTGTCTTGGACCTAGAATTAATGCAGAAAAAAAACTTTTGTACTTACAAAGGTTTCAGAAACATATATTTTCACTCAATACAAATATATATTTAATTTTGCTAAACTACTTTTTTCGTTGATTATCATTGTCATGTATGTCATATGGGTCAGTCAGCGATTCTTTTAGATTGCTCTATGAATATAGACCATTTTTAAATTTCAGTTTAGTACCTATGCTGCAACCTTCGTCAGTTGGCGTCGGTATTGATCGAGAGAAATTCATACATGTTCTGCCTGAAAATCGAACATCGTTTGTTGGAATTTGGATAGCAAAACACTCAGGACTACAAAAGATGATAACATACTTTGTCTTTGAAATGTCAAAGAAGCATTATCTATATTTAAATTACTTAACCGTTTTTTAATTCAACGTATAAACATGCAGTATCAAGAAATAATATTTTATAGATCTTGAACATTTATTTCAAATCACGTTTACTAATTCAACATCTACTGCAGAATATACGTTTTTGTTAAAAATAGAGATTTAATAGTCATAACGTCACGAATGTAAATATATAGAATTAGGGATGCTTGCTCTTGTGTCAAAACAACCATTTTTGTCAATGTTTTCTTTGTATTCATCGTTCCTTTATTTAATTTTCTATTTTTTTCAATGCTTTATTTGAAAAATAAATAAGAACTTCAATTACGAATCAACTTACTCTGAGGCATCTACTCCACAACAATCAAGAGTATTTCCCTTTCTACCTATAAATTATTCACAAAAATAAAACACACAAGTTATGAGAATTAAAACATTCTTGTAAGGGTAATAGAAATGTTTAATGGAAGGCTATTCCATGGTGTACTTGTAAATGATTTTTAATAATGCATTTTTTTATTTATCTGATCTCATGTTGAGATAATCTGAGATAACATTTTTTTCTGAATTACAAATACATATCAAAATTAAAATTAAGTTGGAAAAACGGTAAATTTGTTAAATGAAGAGAATTGTGACCGGTCAGCAGGGAATGCTCACTCCTCCATGACACCTGATCCCAACTCTGATGTTTTGGAGGTCCATGTTTGCTCTGATCCTATTTTGTATTGTTTTGATGACTTTTGACCTTGAATCTTTATCTCCATATATTTCATACACTATTTACCAACAACAATAGGAGTGAACGTCAAGTCGTGGTCTACAAATTGGCCGAAGGTGAACAACATTAAGTTTCGCTTGTCGTCTGGGGGTGTTGACGTGCCTCCCGCCAAAACTCTGTTACTGATCTCTCTTGGAGTTGGGAGTGCGCCTCCATTTCGATCTCTTTGACGCGGACTGTTATAGCCTATTCAAAATCAAAATAATAGCTATGGCCAGTATGTCAATCCCTGATCTCAATAAAATTAAATATCTTTTTTTTTAATTGGAAAGTTCAATTTGATGAATCTGTATTTTATATAGGTAAATTACAATTTTATCATGAATTAGATTAGAAATTTTTATCCTATTCTATTCTTACCATCATCATAAACAGGATCTAAATATTGCGCCTGTAGTGCCACTCCCCATGTTGGATTTTTGAGATTGTTGCATAATCCGTCAGCACTTCGATAACTTGCATACCTGTATTTTTTACAAGAGGGGGTGATTGTATCAAACAGTTGAGTCCGGAAAGATCTCTGATATTCATCACTGTTCTCTAGATCTCCAAAAGATTTCCCAGATGTGAATTAGAATGTATTTTGTTTTACTTACACGTATTGGCACATATTCCGTACATGCATTGATGAAAGAATAGAAGCAAGTGACGTCTTTGTGATAGCAAAGGGAACGCAAAACACATTTAACAATGGTTATGCGCAAATAATGAAATTCTTATTCCTTTTCTTGCCTTTATAATGTATCAGGTATAAGCATTTAGCTTTCAATATTTTTTTTAATTTAAAGAATCTTAAAAATTATTAAAAATAAAATCATACATTGGTATTCTAGATATTTTCTCTAGTTTTGTCAAACGTAAGTTATCCTTCGCCATCTTTGAAACCTGCATGTACATTTAGAAGTACCTTTGAATAAGATTTTCCATAAAACTTAAATATTTGAACCCCGCCCTCGCTATTTTGTCCTCATCATTCTTTTGTCTCTGAAGAAAATCAAAGCTGTTTCCAGTTTCAGGAATAGCTATTGTGAAAAAAGATAAGAAATTTTAAATGATATCCTCTGAAAGTTATCTTCTGTTTTATTTTTAATTTTTTGATTTTTTTTTTATTTTTCATTTTTTTTCTGCCACTATAATTATAATCTTGCTGTTTTGCTAAGACTTTTAACAATGAAAGTAAAAGGAAACTATAAAACATAAAATTACCATAAAACTCTAGCTCTTAAAATTTAAATTACAAGATATGTTTATTTACATGAAACTTACTCTCATTGCCTATTCCGAAATCACGTTGAGGCTTATGTATGTGTCTTGAATTGCGTCAGCAATGATGTCATCAACCTCTACACAACGTGCCATATAAATGTTTGACAGACACGTGACCAGCAGACATATATGTGTGAAATTCATGTTGAAATTTAATCCTAGTAATGAAATAAAAAAAGATTTCATAAAAATTATACATTTCACTTACACCTTCATCATTTATAAATGATGGATAATACATCTTTAAAACTATTCATGCTACATGTGCCTTCCAATTATATTCATTATGATAGCAATTCTATTATAACATAATGATTCTCACAGAATTTTTCCTCTTTTGATTAAAAAAAAAAACTTTGAAGATATTTAAGTTACATGTTTACATTTTGTTGGGATTAAGAATTGATTTTAGAATTTTATAACAAAGTCTCATAAATAATTACTAAAGATCAAATAAATCACTCAGTATCCTATCTCCGTCACGAAATGGAAAGCTGGGAAGACATAATGTTACTTTCTAAATAATTTTTGATTAGTGTATTCTATTGTTTGATAATAAACTCAAGTTGTTTTAAGTACTAAATACAAAAGTGTGTAGTTATTTGACATATATACCACTATGAAAGAGAGCGTACAATACATGCATCTCAATTTTTCCCTTTTTCTATCTTTTACTCTTAAGGAATAATGCTTAAATCTAAATAATAAAATAGTTTTTAAGGACAGATGATACAAACATTTTTTTTTTCTTTGGAGGAGATTTAATATAATGTCACAAGTTTAGAAAAGTGGTTTGTTCTTAGATTTTTTTTTATCCTAAGAACTGGAAAATATTAGTTAATTTTAAAAAAAATTACAAATATGGACAAAACACACTAAGTAAAAGTTTAGAAAAAAAGATAATTCTTGAATTTTTTTTCTCCTAAGAAATGATAAATGAAATAGACTTAAAAAATATGTCATTTTTCAATAAAAAAGCAAATATGGACAATTCACCCTCAGTAAAAAGGTTTACAGGTGAAAACAAATTTTTGAAATAAGTTACATTGTTGCCTAAAGTGTAATATAAACTTTCAAAAAGTAAACCAAGCCAAGTGAATTTTATCCTGAAATGGAAAATGATAAATATTACCCTAATTGATATTGCTGATTTCTTGTCATTTTGTTTTTCCTCATATAATTTACCTGGCTTGGTATTTTTTTTCTATAGTCTATATAACACTTTAAGCACCCCGCTAAAATAAACCGCCATACGGTATTGATCATTGGTTTTTTTTTTTCATTATGCGAAAATCCCAAATTTATCTAAGTAAGGATAGTGACGGAGAAAGATCAAAATAAACGTGATATATTATAGGGTTATTGAACTTATATTGGTGAATATTGGCACGAGTTGGCTGTTCAAATGCACGAGCTTGCGAGTACATTTTAACAGCAAACGAGTTTATTATACAGCTTGAACATTTCCACATAATTTATAATAATTATTCCAACAAAAAATCATTCAAATTTAGATTTTTTAGTATCGTCATTCAAATTTACGTCTGTAGTGTTAGCGTTCAATATCGCATAATTCCGATGTCCATACCGAGCGATATGATTTGCTTATTTAGGTTTTAATGGGTCCAATGCATTCTATATTTTAAATAATTTCATTTTTGTGTGGAAAATGAACTCATCCTACCTAGATGCCAATTCCTTTCTTTAATTTAGCTCTGAAAATTTGACAAGACGATTTTTTTGTTAGCAATGGAGCGTTCGATATTGAATGCTCCTATTCGGTTTGTTTCGGGCATACTCATATACATAATAAAGTTAGCGTTCAATAAAACGTCAAGATATTGAACGCTAAAATTCTCTGGATTTTTGGCAGTGTTTTATTAGAGACTATTTATAAGCTATGTAATAAATATAAAATATATGCCCTTTTCCATATCACATCCAGTATCATCCCGAGAAACCAACATCAGCCAGAGTGGCGAAGGCACGAAGAGTAATATTGGTCGATGACTGATAGATGACATGATGGGGATTAGGGTAAGTTTTATTGTATTTATCAAATAAAAAATTATTAAATACATAGCACATCAATTTGAGAGAATACAATTATGCATTTACATTTGACATGTGCGTAGCTTATTGTAACAAAGAACAGTAATTAAATGTGAAGAATGTGAACCCCAAAAAGATATGTATAATCACAAAATAAACTAGTTTTAATGATCTTTATGATGAATAATAGTAGGAGTGTGATATGGATTCATATCAGCCCAGCAGATTTATACGAAAGGTGTTTAAAAAAGTTTGCAAAATAAGTAAAATACTTTCATTAAAAAAAATGAAATTAGGTTTCAATGTTCATTTTTTGGAGTAGTCCACTCAGATTTTGATGTACATCTGCCACCGTTCTGTCAATGCACGAATCACGTGATCCAGGCGGTCTTGTGACATGCTCCAGGCGTTCTGTTTCAGAAGTTAAAAGATTTTCTCAAGTCTTATACCTTATACCTTATATCAAGTTTTGCAATGTGTTCATAAGAAGATAAGCAGTCAAGGTGACCAGAAGTGTTTTTACAGCTCCTGAAGATCTTATCTCTACTAAGCTTAACAATGGAATAATAATGAGTTTGAGTGATAATTCTAATCTTTTCAAGTCACTTTTGGACTCATTTACCGGATTTTCAAGATCATTTATTTTAACTAATGATCTGCCAAAGGAATAAGTGGGTCTTAGTGTAAATGATGTGCCAAAATTCTTGCAAGTACAGGACAATCAGGAAAGTGTTACAATTACTTTCAATGGCGACAAGTACCCCATCATTTTAGATCTGTTAGAGAAGAAACTTCTTTTATTTAAAGACAGCAATGGAAGGCGCTCAAGTACCCTAATAGATCACTTTTACAC